TTTGTTTATTTTTTTGTAAAAGTAGCAGTAGTTTGAGACAAAGTTTTAACAAGTCATTTTGGGTCAGACACAATGCTGCACTTAATGCCCCAATAACAACCTGTTATTGTTAATGTTTCAACAGTTTGATAGTGGCTACTTATGCGGCTCCTGCAAAACCTCTATAGGACCTGTTAACAACAAACAGTAGCAAAATTGGGAGAAACCTTTCCAGTTATCTTAAATTTATATTGAGTTTTGTTTATTTCTTGTGGGAGAGAAGAGGTCCAAGATTCTCTAACCATATACATGCTCTTTTTGAGCAACAAATGCCTGAAAGCATCATATGTTAAACTGAACTTTACACTTGTTCTTATCAATCAAAATCTTGTTTTGTTTTGTTTTTTAGCTCATAAGTTGAAATGTAAATATTTTTTAAAAATATTAACTCTATTAAGCAGTTAAATCATGTTTAGTTTTGCTGTTAGAATTTTGTTATACCTGTTCAATAGTGGACCACATATTGGACAAGTGTTTTGGCCATTACTATTAGATTGGTCCATTTGTTTATTTATAACAGTGTGCACTACTGCRTTATAATGGTGATAGTGCACTTGGAGGGAGTAGTACTTTCTGAAATGGTAACTCATTGTAAAAAGTTTAAGAAATTGGCCTAAGAATTTAATGCATTGTGTGCAATTTAGAATTTTTTAAAAAAATGTACTCTCTTTCTCTTAATCTCAATATGATTGCCAGTGAAATCATAAAAATAACTACTTAAAAATATATTATATTTTACTTCTTCTCCTTCTCTAGCATGGCGAGGAGGTATCTCCTGCAGCCAGTGACCTTGCTATGGTTTTGACCAGGGGACTGAGTATGGAGCAGCAAAAAACCAGCAGAGACTCCCTGCAGTACTCCAGCGGATATAGCACAGAGACAACAACCCCGTCCTGCTCTGAGGACACGATTCCTTCACAAGGTGAAACTCTAATATGCTCCTCGCTCCAGTGCAGCTTTTAATCTTGTTCAGGCCAGGACAACCACATTCATTACCTTTTAACCTGGCTACATTCATCATCTGACTTCTTGTAGCATCTCAGGAGAAGCAACCAGTTAGAAGTTTTAACTGCACTATCAGTATTGTTGAAAACTGCTGAGGTTTTTATTATATAGCATCCCTTTCACTTGAATCCCCGTTGTCAGTGTTACAAACATCAGATAAGGTGAATCATCCCGAGTGCAGCCACGTTTTATGACAGATGTACCCTGGCAGTTTCTTTGACAGTTCTTAGAAAACAACAATACAAAGATAAAACTAAAAAAAATATTAAATCTTTTCCTGGGAGATTTTGCTAGTTCTTTGTTGCTATGGCATGTATTAATTCAATCGTTTCTCCACAGTTCATTTTTTTGTGAGGTGGCTATTGTATAGTTTCCCAACAACTCTTTTTTTTGCTAAAATGTGTCCATTTTCTTTTTCTATCCCTCAAAATCACACATTAGGTTCAGACTATGACTGCTACTCTGTGAACGGTGACACCGAAGGCCCAGATGGACAGGCCGAGTTTGACAAGTCCTCTACAATTCCTCGCCACTCCAACATCGCCCAGAACTACAGGCGCATGATCCAGACCAAAAGGCCAGCTAGTACAGCTGGCCTGCCCAGTGGGGTTCTTGGTCCGGGGACTCATGGGATACCAGGACAACCAGGCATAAGTGGTGGAGGAGGAGCAGGGACTCCAGGCACTGCCACCATTCGCCGAACCCCTTCGACAAAACCAGGAGTGAGGCGCACTTTGTCCAGCGCGGGGCCTATTCCCATCCGACCACCCATCGTGCCTGTCAAAACCCCCACCGTTCCCGCAGACTCGCATTCACCTGGCACGGGCGGGTGCGCAGGAGGAGGCCAAGGTGGAGTGCCTGTCCGCGTGGGAAGCGAAGAGTGCGTATTCTTCACTGGAGCCGAGGATGCGCCAGGAGGGCTCGAGTATGTGAAGGCATCACCAAAGCGCCTCAGTCTGCCCAACACCGCCTGGGGCTCAGGGGCGGCGTTAGAGGTCTACGCCCAGCAGCACGGGGGCCTTGCAATGGCATCGGGCTCGGCAGCGAGATCAGAGGAAGACCAGATGATTGCAGCAAATCGGCACAGCTTAGTGGAGAAGATCGGCGAGTTGGTGGCCAGTGCACACGCTCTTGGCGAAGGGCAGTTTCCTTTCCCTGCCCTCCCAGACGACCCGGCCCCGACACCGACTGTTCCCAGTGACACTCAGACAGGAACAGAGGGCACAGAAGGGTCTGGCGACATGCTGACCACCATTAGGAGAGGTGTTCGCCTTCGCAAAACGGTCTCTAATGACCGCTCAGCTCCACGTATATTGTGATTCGAAAAAAACAAATAAATAACAGGATGGTTGTCAGCTGTTGGGGGTTAGGGGTTAGTGTGGTGTAACCCAACCACCAAGGACATTCTCAAAAATATAACCATGTTGAGAAAGCTATAGTATGAAATCAGTCAAGTAAAAACAAAAACATAGACAAAATATGCTTCAAGACACATTTAGAGTAAATAATATATAAAATAATAACATTAATGATGTTAACCGATGCTGATAATTAAAATGAAATACTTAATGATAGGCTTCTAGCAGGCCATAATAACTAGTGTGTGTTGGACGCATGTTTGTCTTCTATACACCCTCACCCAGGGATGGAAAGACTCACAAGAAAAAAAAACAGATACGGTTAAAAAAAAGGCAAAGAAAGAGAAAATCATTGTTCCGTTTGCCAACGTGCCCTCCTCCCCAACCTGTTGTTCAACTAACCCTACTGTCTGATCCCAGGTGAAACACTGATGACTGAGGGTGGGGCTGAGGAGGATGAATGAGAGAGGGGAGTCAGAGTGCCATGTGAACTCATTCTGTGTCAGCAGCGATGCACTGTGCTTATAAGTTCACTGAACTGAAGCTTTGGGACGAGCACGGGGAGCTAACAAACCAGACGGCCTCTCTGGTTCACCTCAATGTAAAAGACTCAAAAAAATAATAATGTTGGCATTGAACCATGCTCGTTCCCCTTCCCCCCTCTCTCTCTCTTACTGCATTGTGTATGCGTGCATTCATGGGTATGCATGTGGGCATATGTAAAAGTGAGCATTTGGAGAAGTGTGTGTGTGTGTGTGTGTGTGTGTGTGTGTGTGTCTGTGTGTGTGTGTG